ACTGCTAACTGATGGAGGTTTGTCATTCTTAGGAAAGATGGATTAATTTCTTGAGAGAGTTCCATGTTCTTTAGAAAACGAATCAACATGTCAGGATCATATTCAGGGAAGAGTCTAGTCAGACCAGACACACTAACAATACCAGTATTGCTAGCAATGTCAACGTGTTCTTTGAATGTCTCTGGAGCAAAGAGAATCCCATCCACCTCAGTTAGTAGTATACCCTTATTCACAACAACCCATACCTTCTCTTCACTTTTAAGAACACTCATCAAACCAGTTGAGTGCAATGAATGAAGAACATCCAAGACGTCTTCTCTCTTATCTGGTATAAAGTAATCATCACTGTCCTTACCAGCAGACATTACATCAGAGAGGGTCAGTATATTCTCTTTCCTTTCCTCCAGTAGACCATACATCATGTGACAATAAAGACTCAAATTCCTTCCACTTGTACTACGAATGGACTCACAGGCACTAGACAACTTATCAAAGAAGGAATCCACACCACTCCCACCAAGCTTACGACAATCTAAGAAGACACTATCACACCTTTCCCTTACAATAATCTCCTGTATTTCTTCCTTTCTCCTTCTCCTTTCAAAAGGATTAGTGAATATCTCATCCACATGACTGACTATTACAATAGCATGGCATTGATTAAGAGCTTTGTGTGCTTCATTTGTGACAACTGTTAGCCACTGATGAAGCTGTTTGACTGGTTCCTTCTCCAATATATTGACTACTATGAGGAAGACACCACCAGAACCTTGTAAGAGATTCTCAATGACAGCACTGTGACTGGAGTAGTATTCGGAATGACCAGCAAAATCATGAAGAATGATGTTACCGAGTGTCCTGTGTTGTAGTTTATAAGGAATGATGCCAGCAGTACAGGGCACTACCCCTCCAACATTTCTAAAGGAACCAAGAACAATAGAACCAGTAGCTGTGTGATTGATGACATGACTAAGAGTACTTTTACCAGCTCCAGGATTACCCACAAGGAGGACGTTAACATAAGAATCAATTGGATGAGATGATTTTATACCACCAAACTTCTTCAAGACAGAAAGAGCATCAGTGTCACCTCTCTCCTTAGCTAGTTTAAATGGTGTCTCCCCATCATTGTCTTTAGCCAATGGATCACATTTACCAGTTGATAGTAAATATTCAACAGCTGCAGAACAATCCCAACCAGCAACAACATAGTGAAGAGGTGTCTGCCCCCACCTGTTAACAGCCATTGGATCACAGTGACACTCATCAATGAGATATTTGATTACATCAGGTGAGTTCCTACGAGCTGCTACATGAAGAATTGTCCTGTTGTAAGAGTCAGTAGCCATTGGATCACAGTGACACTCATTAATGAGATACTTTACAATATCAATGTGTCCAGCAGCACGGTGAAGAACAGTCTCACCACTATTGTCAGTAGCCATTGGATCACAGTGACACTCATTAATGAGATACTTTACACTATCAATGTGTCCAGCAGCACGGTGAAGAACAGTCTCACCACTATTGTCAGTAGCCATTGGATCACAGTGATGATGATTGATCAAGTACTTCATGAAATCAAGTGATCCTTGTTCAGCTACTATGTGAAGAACAGTATATCCATCATTATCAGGAACCATTGGATCACAGTGACACTCATCAATGAGATATCTCATCACATCAACATGATTACCTCCTGCAGCATAATGAAGACAAGTCCTACCAACACTATCTCTTTCGTGTGGGTCACAGTGATATTTAGTGATGAGATCTTTTGTAACATCTAACCAGCCATTCCTTGAGGACAAATGAAGTAAACTAATATTATCACGTAAGCCATATCTTCTTTTAATTTTATTCAGTTCCTTCACTAATGGTAGTAAGCGAACAGCTTCTTTATGATCTTCATACACAGACGCATCCCAACACTTGTCCTCTAACGACATCTTGTGATCAGTTAATTAGATTCATTGATACCCGCCCACACACATGACAGGATTCATAGTACACTATATACACATTATGAATATCATTAATGAGAGAGAGAAAATGAAAAATATAATAAAAATATAATGTACATGAACAGCATACTGTATAGCTCCAAATTTCTGTTTGTCAAAAATTTTGTCGAAATCTTAATTTCTTGTTAATATTATTTTTGTTTATAAAATTTTGTTATATAATAAATTTGCATACTAACCACGTGGAGCAAAAATTTTTTCAAGCAAAAATTTTTGATCAATTTGATGAAAATTTTTGACCAACAAAAATTTGGAGCTATATGACAATATTGATTTTTTAAAATTATTTTTACGCTGAAACAATTCATTTTTAAAGATTTTGCCAAGAAAATCATCCTTTTTAATTACTATTTGACATCAGGAATTTGTATTTGAATTTATAATGCTTTTTATAATAAATACTAGATCTACATTGTATGTGTGTTACTATTTATAGTACATGTGTTACTATTAATATTAATGTGTGATGATAATGTTTGTTACTATTAATAGATGATAGTTATGGAAGTGACAAGAGGAAGAGCAGCAGTGAGTCCTTACCTTCTCCTCCTCCCATTCCTCCTGATCAACTGGATGCAGCTGTTAACCTTCTCTCATCAATAATAAAGTAATTATTAGTAATTATTAGTAATTTATTAGTAAATTATTAGTAATTTATTCATGTACATGTACATCAATTGTGTTTAGTTAATTCAGTTAATGGTCAAAGTCAACTAAAATTAAGGAGAAACTGTACAATAATACATTAATACTAAGTTAATGATTTATTATTATTTATTTATTAATTTATTTTTAGACGTAACCACACCAGTGAACATAATCAACAATTTGCTGGTCAACTTCTACGAATGACACTCAACTTCCTTTTGAGATTCATTAAAACTCATTCCAATACCAGCAGAATGGGAACCAAACCCTCAGGATCCAATGAACCAGAAGTGACGTCCCTCGGGCGGAGTGAGAGCCAGGCTAGCGAGGACTCATCATGCTTAGAAACCTCTTTTAGAAACCCTGGGACTGGGTTCATATCGTCCAGTGAAATAACGTCCCACATTCACAGTCTTAGAGAATACCTGCCTAAAGGTAACACACTGATCAGTGACCCTAAGAGGAAGGGGGAGGAGGAAGGGGCGGAGTTTGATCGTCTCTTACATGTAATGGTAAGAAAGGAATCATGGGACCACGCCTCCACTGAAGTAAGTTAATTAAATGACAAAAAAATTAATATTTATAATTTTAACTACTTCTATTTATAGACAGTAATCCAGCGATCATTAATAACTGGTAACGTACCCCTAGGTCAGTCCTATCTTATTCTTAGGTCGTTAAAGGGGGAGGAGTCACCACACCCACAAGATGAAGCAGTACATTAAACACCTTATTGTATTGTATTGTATTGTTTATTATTGACTCCACCTATTTAGAGCCACACCCACACTGATGAAGTAACTATTAGTAGTTTGAGTAGTGTTGGTATCAGTTTAATAATGAAGACATTCTGTGAGAAGAATATAAAACAAGCAATCATCTTTATCAGACAAATGGTATG